TTCAAACACTTTGTACTGGATTATCATATCTGTTCATGAAATGTTGATCGTATAGTATTTTTGCATAAAAGTACATCTGAACTGTATCAGTTCTCTTCTACCCGTGCAGAGGGAGAGCATTACTTCGTGCAGAAGCGCTACAACCTGGTGAGTCACCCGATCTATGAGAAAGGTTTCATGTACACCCTTATTCGGTCTTTGGAGGTGGAGGGCGTGAAAAAAAAAGAAAAAATTCAAATGTATCAGCATTTTCGGTGCTCCATAAATGTGAAGGAGAGGCGTAGGTAGTTGATATGACGCATAAAAGGGTTTTGCAAGCGTTTAATATACTTTTGATAAAAAAGCAAAACAAGCTGGCGCATGAAGGATTCGAACCTCCGATGCCACGCCTACTAGTCCGTCGTCCTCCCAACTGCGCCATCTGTGCACATTCTGCACTGCTTGGTTCTCGTATAAAAGCGAAGAACTTACAAGACACCCGGGGAGAGGGACCTGTACCTTTGTTCCCAGAACCGTTTCGCAGATTTGGGATTCAGATTTGAGATCAGCGTTCGAAACTACCTACGTCGGTATACATCTTATCTTAAATGGCCACTGCGACTTGGTATCCTTTCCTGGTAAGACGTCTAGTGAATTGGCAAGCAAACTAATATCACTTTACATAAACATACTTTTCTCACGATGATCTCCTTGTGTGGATTGCTCTTCTTGACAAATGAGCTGAATTTCATTATTTTAGACCCAAGGGTACTGAGCCATAAAGAAAAAGCATGTTCATGCTCAGCATGTCAAGTGCGAACAGTACAAAGATTCGTGCTTTCCGAGTAAATCGTGGCTACCCAAACATTATCTTTTTACACGACCTCTATTTTATTTTACCCTATGGAAATTATGGTATTTGTTGAAATTCTTTTATTTACAGGCTGGTGGCATGTAGTTATAAATGAGGACGTTACAGTGGCTATCACACAGAATTTTTGTTCGCCCGCCAATCTCCGTTTTGTGTATCCAACTCTTGCCAAACAAAGACCATGCACTGCCAAACTATTTTATGAACGGTATTCTTTTTGGACATTTGTTCTTAACTTTCAAAAGGTTGCGCGTGTCCTTAATTCCTGACTAAACAACTTTTATGGGATTTCGTCGAGGAAACCGGGTATGGGTACATTCACCCAGAACTGAATGGATGCGACGCGGCAAATCGCGCGGCGGAATTCGTGGCGATTTAAATGGCTTTAGTGCCTATGATTGGGGCTCAAATTTGGACTAGAGTAGATTGGTACGATCACCTGTTCATGCTAATGTACTCTACTTCAAGTTTGCATCCTAATGATAGCTGCCAAAGTCGTCCTAAACGCCAAGAATCTAGCCACGCCTTTTGCCGCGTGCATCCAGTTCTGGGTGAATGTTCCGTCCCCCGAGGAAACCTTGTCCTTTCACAACACTATCAGAGGTTTTGAGTAAGCCGCGCGGTTTATGCCAGCCGCTCTGCGTTTACGGCATTCTCTACTAATAACCGCTCTGAGGCACCTATTCTTTAGGCCTCAAAGCCAAGTAGGTGCTCGAGCGAGGCTAACATACAATTTATCAGCATCTGTCTGTTATGTCGACGTCTTTTAAACACCGTAATTGTTAATTTCAAAGACTCGAATTTTCGCACATGAATCTTTACACCCTAACAATAGGGTCAATTTTTGAAATTTTTTAGTGGGAAGTCGTACGTGTGGTAGCTGTCTATGGTTTTTGACCAATTTTCTATTGTCAGAAAAGTCACATCAAAAGAGAACAGGTTTTTGGCCGCGAGTTCGTGCCCATTTAGTGTAGCTTTTTTCTTGAGACTGGCTGAGGAACACCCTGAGCTACTCGACATAGTGAACGAAGCGATGTTGGACCCAAAACCGATCAGGAACGGGTATGACACGTCTGATGATAGTGGTAGTGAAGATGAAGAAGACGAGAGTGACTCTACCATCTCCTTGAACAGTACCGACGTATCTTCGTATGAAAGGTATGCCTTTTGCAGTTATATTTCATATTTCATCCATTAACTATGAGCTCATATGGATATGAGCTCATAGTTAATGGATGAAGCTCATATCAATATGAGGATACCAATGAGCTCATATGGATCAAAGGCGGCGAAAAGAGGGAGCAGACAGTAATGTAGCAGGAGCCACAGCCATGAGTACCGGTGCGGAAAGTACTACAGTAATGTATCCTATCCGATCCCTGCATCTTCAATTTTTCAAGGTTTATTCGAATTTTCGTGACCGTTGCTCTGAATCTTTCAATGATGTTGATCTCGCTTTCAAGAAGAGAGCGAAGGGGGGAAGGACTGAGCAGAACCCTTCTCTTCAGTAATCGTACAGGTGAAAGAAAATCGCCGTAAAGTGATGAGTTCCTAATTCTATCAATGTTGCAACTAAGTATGGTTAAGTTCTATGGCTTTAGTATGAATTTCCTCCGAACCCTTCTCTAAGCAAAATCGGTCTGCCTTCAGTGACTCCAGTGGTGAGGATGAAGAAGGTTCCAAACACGAAACCATTGAATTGAAAGAAATAAGTAACAAAACTGGAGAAGGCGTGGCGAATACATTGGATGACGGCGATAAATGTTGCGAGTCTTCGGAGCCTAACGTAGCAAAGCTCAATTTCCCCTCCGCCAATACTGGCACTGATAGCGAAACAGAAGAGTATTCTGGAGGAGATTACGACTCATATGAAGAGGATGGTGAAAACGAAGAGCTTTCAACAGATGAGGAAGTACTGCAAAAGATGCCGATGAGGTCTGCTCTTTTTATAATTTCTAGACAGTCTCCAATGATTTATATCGTTTCAACGAATGTCGTAAATGAGATAGATTTTCAGTGGCCTGAGCGGAATGAAGCGACGCATTCGTGAGAACTCATAAGAATTCACGCGACATTAGTCATAGTTTTCTGTGCCTTTCCCTTTTTGCTGCTTGATTTGTCTTTCTCAGTTCGTTTTCAAAATAAAGCCCTCGATTAGACATTTGATCACATGGATGTTCCGAAAAACTTTTTCTTGCTTCGTATATATGTGTTATATATGTGATTAGGCGATTATAAGATTTGAAAAATGAAGATATACTCCGGTGGAATGCTTCATGGACATTGCCTGTTTGAGAGTTCTAATCACACCGGAGCCAGACTCGCGTCTACATGGGAGAGATCCCATGCCCTTCCCAGAAGAATACCAGAAGAGGATAATTTTCAAGCAAAAGCAAATGTTTCATGAGGCGACAACTTTCCAGAAAGAGCTCAATGGTTTGTGACCGGTAGTCGTGCACTGCAGTAGGTTTCGCAAAGTGAGCGCTGACATCAACAAGCTGGAATCAATGGTGAATCTTTCAGGATATGCGTCAGGACATGTGCTACGACAACAGAACACTAGCTCACTGAAAAAGTACCTCTAAGGGTAAAACTCAGTCAGTGATGTACGGCCGGATCGCCATACAGATGGAGAGGTTGTCAAATCGACAACTGTAATAGAAGAACCGATCAACCGAAAACGGACACAATGTCTATCATTTAAGCTAAAGCGTGGAAGGGGAAGTGGTATGGTGAAACCCATCCAGTAGTTTTTAATGGAACGAAAGTGAATGGAGTTTCACTGTGAAAGTTAACGAAAACGAAGCGAGATATGTGGTGCTAAGTAGCGTCTGTATGCTGATGATGCAACATATATAAGGACTAAAGTACGAATACCTGTCCTTCCAGTCCATTGGAACATCCATCACTTCACCATCACTTCAGCTGATTTGGGCTAAACTGGTTTTAGGAAGCCCCCCCCCCCAAATCTTATAAGTTCTGATATGACTCATCCAGCAATATGCAGCTGAAATGATAATTACAGCTGACATTCCCAGACATTCAAGACCAAAGTAGTCATTAATTTATGCCGAATTTGAATTAGCTAATATTAGTAGGATGGCAATCATGATAGACCTTTATCGCGAATAAATCTCATGAAAATATGTACAAATCACTGGGTAAGTGATGAGCTCGTCGCAACCAGACTCTCACGTAGATGTGCACTTTCCCGTTGATCTCGTAATGGTGGTAGTGTTTGCACTGAACTTCGTCGATAGGATCGTAACGTGCGTAAAGATCCACGAACGTCTGCCGAGTTACTTCTTGTATAGACACTCAATCGCTGGCCCAGGCTGCTTTGCGATAACTGCAAATAATGGGTCTTGATGTATTAGAAGAGGCTTAAATTCGTTTTAAGTAAGAAAGGTGCTACAGCTGAGAAGAATTCTTCGGATACCTTCAACCGTGCTTGCGTTCCTCATTGTCCATCTCTTTATGAATAGTCAATAAGTTCTCTATGAAAGCAAGGCTTTCAATTCCTAAATGACATTCCCTCACTTGTTCCCTGGTCTATGGCTTATTCCCATGTAGTAGCTGATGATTCCCTATCTTAAAGATGCCCGTAATATGTTGGTCGCCCCCATCCGTTCCTTACTATGAGGAAAACTTTAACATTGCGGTAAGAAATAGGGCGAATGAGCTCAGAACACATCAGAACAATTTGAGTTTCATCAACTAAATAATGAGAAAAAGAGGAATTGAGGCTGTGTGAAGCGATTTACGACCTGCGAACGCAAATCATCGAAGCATACCTTTGGAAACTTCCGAAAAAGCAAAATGAAGCATTTTCGTCGGAAATGCTCCGACGAGAGGCAGAACAGAATGAAGTTGATCGTTTTCCCTGTGATGACGAGACTGTTGGTGATACTAAACAGAAAGCTCATAACAGAATAAATCCATTTCTTTTTTCTATTTGAAGGCACAATTCACGATCTGAAAGGTTACTACTACTAGGCTACTACTTCTTCCTAGAATTACCCACTGGCCCACGAATGTAACATAGAGGATACTGTCACGACGAGAAACTCAGTAGATAGGGCATAATATGCGCCCCATTACCGGACTCATCGACGTCCACGCCCTTCGACGAGCGATGATGTGTCAGACGAGTGTACAGGTTGTACTACTCCCGCCAGGACCCACACGCTCAGAATGCATTCAGCTGATCGGCGGGTGGTGAGATGATGACTTACTCTTATTCTGTTATTGTCTATTATTCCTTTTGCTGCTGCGGTCCTTTACCTAGTTTCCTACTTTGAGAGTAAGGGAAAGGGGGTTATTTCTGCTGTTAATAGTGTTCTCATCAACTCATGTTCATGAGTGAATGAATTTTAAAGGGCATTTTCGCTTACTGTTGTCCGCTATACGCCCCATGACCCACACGTATGCAACTTTTTTGATCTTATTCTCGTTCAACCTTTTTTTACTTTTTCGAGGCCTTTTATCACTTTGGAAACATCGATTCGCGTGCTTCCTCGCCTCCATTGCATTATTCTCAACATTCTCTTTCATTTTTCTTCATAATGTGGGAAACCCTAAATTATCGTCAACTGTGCCTTCAGTAATTATACAGCAAACGGAGAAGTCTCGTTCATAAAATGAGTCTAGAATGTGAGTATGGGTAGAACTACCTGAATATGGCATAAAACGTGGCACCAAGATGTGCGTAACCGGCGAACAACTCCCATATTACCATTACTGCCGATGGTCCTTGAGTTAATGAGAAACACAATCCAATCGCTATAACTGTCACCGTAACGCGACGACGTTGACGCTGAAGTGATTTTGCATCATGTTAATGACATTACACTTACACCAATCTCACTCACATGTTGATTTCTTGTGATTGAGCCTCGAAACGTCTCTAAAATGGATAGATCGTTGAATCGGAGTTCTCGCATCATTAGCATGTTAAGTAGAATGACTAGAACTATTGGCGCGAAAACCACCTAAAACTTTTGGCTTTTAAATTCTGTCATCAGATACATCGAGTAGATCAGTTCATGCAGGTTGCTAAGGCAAACTAGACGAAATTTAAGAGATCTCAACATGTATCCGTCAAGGGGAGAGTCGCTTGTGCAACAGTATCTGAGAAAAATAAATTAAATAAGTATAAATAAATATAAATTGCTCTTAGGTAATTGTGATTTTGAAAGTTTTCACATTTGTCTTTGGTTTTTGTATTTCCAGTTACAGATATCTAAAAATTGAAGCGAACTGTTGTGGTGTCCGGGAAGTTTTGAGGAAACTTTGCACCCCAAATTTGAAATTATTTCGCGCGCGAATGCGCCAAAGCAGGACTATGAAAGTGGATGCGGAAAAAGGGTACTTTTCTAGAATCAGTACTGTAGCTGATCCATATTTGGCTTTGTTGTTGGAAGTAAGCTACATCCCACCAAATGATGAGTGATCGACACGACTATCGACGCCTACACTTCATTGCTACCATTGTGTCCGCTCAGCCACTCGAGCCCTGAACTGCAGTCATCGATGGGCAGTACTACACCTTCTCTTGCCACATGCTATAGACGGTACGTTCGCTTCTCTAGAGGAAAGATTCACTCCGACGAAGCGCCACGGAGCGGACTCCATGTTCCACCAAAACCGACGCTGCCTTAGCTTCCGTCCGAAGCAGTCCTTCTCATACTTTGGAGGAAATGAAGGGGCGCTCAGTCAAGTGTAATTGATACTGCAGATTGCTGCGCCCGTTCCACCATCCATGACATCCTACACAGACGTCGCTTTCGCGCAGCAACCTGCAGTTATCCCTCACACCTGACTGAGCACGAGCGTCAGATGCGGGCCGATCGATGTGTCTCAGAAGCCACTCGACCGCAAGAGAAGAGTGGCTTGGACGAGCTTCATTATTTCTCAGGATGAGAAGTGGATCTCTGATGAAAATCCACACAGGAAGTTGTAGTGGCTACCAATCGACATGAGGCCAGAAGCCGTTGCAAAGCGTAGAGCTCACCTCAAGAAGGATATGATCCCGTTCTTCATTTACTTCGCCGTCTGTTTGTGCTAGGAGATCCTACCCGAGAGTACTGCTGTGATAACAAGACCATTCTGCGAACAGCTGCGGGAGATGGTATATCGACCCCCGATTTCACACCGAATGCAAGGAAATTTTCTAATTTTGATCGGCAACGCTCGGCCACACCATGCTAGGACGATAGCTGAGGAGCTGGAAAAGCTTGAGATCACCTGAGCTACCGGTCCATATTCAACTGACCTTGGCCCTTGCGAGGACCACGCCTTCAGGAGTCTAAAACTCACGTCAAAGGGAAAAAGTCTCATAACCGTCAGGTCAAGTTTGAAGTAGATGAATGGGTCGCGTCGCGCCCCTCTTCTTCCTAGGAGGATGGAATCAGTGATCTGCCCAATCGATGGAGAGATGTTGTGCTTAAGAGAGGACATTATCTTGATTACTGATCTTACGTTAACGTTGCAAATACTTTGTGTTGACTAAACCAGCTGTTTTCTCAAAACCTTTCGGACACCCTGATAGTTTTTCGTAGTATATTTTTATTTTGAGGAAACACGGTGTTGCTGGCTCATTAGGTCAGAAAAACGTGTCCTGATTATTGTGAGATTGTGACTGGACCCGTAACCAAGATGATAAACAGGTTTATATGGCTAATGCTTCGGCTTTGTCGCCTTCGTCAGAGCATGATAAGCCAAACATAAATGCGGTTCATTCGAACAACATTCAGAAATTCGAAACAGTACTCTAGACACAAAGATTCTAAATAGGCATGGTAGCCGTCGAAAACATCGGACTCAACTCGAGACGACCAAGCCTGATTATCTTGTTCCTGACGATTGGGTTGGCCGTCTTGGAGGCTTGAACCTTTGAACTTTTGATTCTCAGCGGAAGTTTGAACTTATCAGGTTGCATTCAAAATTCGTGCCTTTATTGAGTTCGAAGTTCGTGCCTTTTTAACTTAAGATCACCTCAAAAAAATGCAACATCGATGTGCATAATAAGCACCACCACCTGCGGTATCGAGCTGAAAAAGTGATCAAGCGAGGGTGATCATTTCAGAGATGTTCTGAGTCATCGTATTTCTTGTGCGCACGAACGCTGCTGCGGGACATAGATCTGGTCGGCTACGTAGAGGGAGCAGTGGGGTTCCCTAATACAATCACAGGATCTGCAGCTGTGTCGTCTCCAAGACATGTGCTCTAGCAATGTTGTAGAGCGGGCTCTTTGTCGAATTTCGAAGAGATTAGGTAGACTTTCTCTTCCATTGTTCGTAGATGGCAACAGTATATCTCACCTGTAACTATGGCGAGGAGCAAACTTTCTGGGTAGCGCCCCGCTAGACGGACAGCATAGTCTTCTAACTGAATAGACCTGATCTCACAGCCGCTTCAGTCCCTTTTGAAGGATCCATCAACTGATGCTGAAGCCTGCAACCTACATGAATGCATCACTTCTCACATCTACTGATAACGATCAGTCAGTTCCTTCGGTGGAGGCAGGAAAGAAGTTGTAGACAGAACCTCATTTTTGAGAGCTGGCCAGCCCAAGAGCAATTTATTTGTTGAACTTCAAAGCTATTCCGAAAAAAAGACGCCGAAAACATGGAGCAGGAGTATGATTGCTATAGAGCGAGTTGTTTCTTTTGGATTCGCTTCGATCAGAGGGCGTGATCGATTTCATTCAAGGTGCATAAACTTTTGAGACGACCTAATATTCATCACAAAATAACAAGCTCATTCGATTTTGGTCCCCATAATATGTAATCTTCTCATTTCCTTTGAGAGGATACTGTTGATTTCTATGGAGAGAGCTAGAGCTTTGAAAAACAACCTGTTTGAACTGAGCTCTATGTTAATGAAACATACTAGCACCGCATTGAATATGGTCATGACCCGCATGTAGACTTTTTTCACCGCGCTGGGAAGAATCTGCAAACGAAAATCAAAATTTGACATCGTGGATGAGGTTTTTTGAAAACTTCCTACCAATTCTTTCTTGAGGAATGTCCTAGGATGTTTCTCGCCCGCGTAGTAGCAAAAGTCGATAAGTTGGCTTCCATTGCAAAATTCCATCAGTGTGCAGTCATACTCGAAATGGTGATAAAGAGTTAGCAATCCTGCAACACAACTTTGCTGTGGAGGCTAATTCTCAGTCAGTTTAGAGAACTTCCCCTGACTTTTAGTGCTTTCATTTCAACCATTTTCAGCTGAGAAAAAACACTGAGCAGGTTAGTTGAGCGCACCACCCGTTACCATCAATATCTTGATTGTAGTGTTTAAAGTTTTGGGACCATTTCTTGACTGCCTTTCATGTCCTTGGTGCATCGATGCAGCAGTATTATAAAGGAAATCGACAACATTGCGTCTCAGAAGAAAGGCGACGTGGAAATGTCCAAAAGTAGATTTTGATCAGTATTGCTCATGAGTTCTGAAGAGCAGTAAGTCTTCCCCACAAGTGGCATCAATGAGGCAGGAATCGTTTGTCCGGAAAAATACCACGGAAGTAATACAGACACTTTGTCAAGTTCATGTGAAAGTTCTTTGAATGCTCTCTTCCAGGAAGAGAGCATTCAAAGAAAATCTTTCAGTCTGATTTGCTTGATTCCAATTTGATAACAAAACTCACCGGTCGCGAAGAAGATCGAGCTGAGAACGAGTACCATCTTCCCGCGCTGCCAGTAGAGTTTCGACCGCAACGGTGATCGAATTATCAAGAAGCGTTCAACAGAAACTGCTAGAATCAACCTAAACCATTTTCAGATGAGAACATGAACAGTCATTAGTTCACAGTGAACCTACCAAATGGCGGAAGCACTCATCCAGTTGGCTACGGCTGCGATATGTTGTTTACTTTTAAGGTAGAATAAGCGAAAGTTGTCGTTGAATGCCAGTTTATCGTAAGAGGAAAGTGCATGCGGTAACATGACCAAAAGAAACGCCAAGTCACAGAATGAGACAGCTGCTAACTAAAATCGTTTCATGGTAATTTATGAGATTTTTTTGTAAGAAGGGAACAATACATATTATACAATTCATGATGTTCACAAAGCAACCTCTGATCGCGTTCAAAATCTTTCTATGACCGTGAAATCATGAAATCATCCTTTCTTTTTTTTTTTTTTTGATCAACCTCAACGTCAGTCTCATTTCGTTCAAAATGATTGCCACCACATTTGGAATCTGCTGAAAACTCTTGGCAGTGCCCGGAGGAAGACTAGCACGAGAACCTAACAAGAATTGAATGGAAAAGAAGAGAAGCAAGGTTTTTTCTCTTTTTCCAAGTAATAGCAGAAATGTTTCAGAAAATGGCACGAAATAAAGAGTGACTACTTACCAGGTCGCTAGCGACATTAGAAGTCTCATCGGATACGAGCACACACAGATTGAGTATATTGCCGAGTACACCGAGAGTGAATTGAAATGGGAACAAATACTGCCACAGCCATCTGTAAAAGGTTTATTGATGCTTTCAACGTTCGTAACACTTTCAATCAGGTAGCCCTTTCACTTGGATTGATCTTTTTTGCTGATAAACATCAGAACTATAGGATTCTGACCCCCACTTGGTCTCTATTTTCATCACAATGTAATCAACATGATATATCCATGTTCAAAAAACAAACATCAAAGGTATCCCATTTACCAATCTCATTTTTGAAGTGTGAACGCAACGGAAATGAACATATAAACAAAATGTTCCTTTTTCAATCATAGTGCATCCCATTTTGCTGAAATTCACTACTTTCACGTTGCTCACGTCTTCCGTTTACACTACAAACAGGGATAGAACTGAACGTTTACATTTTTCTTCATCCCTACCCCTTCAATCTCAGTGGAAGGTCCATCCAAGCGTCGTAGTATGGGTTACATCCCAAATTTTGCAGGTGTGGAAACCAATTCATGAGAACTGAGAATTTCGGCGACCAAATGAATGACTGGAGTGGATGGTGCCTGGGACAGCATCACTTGACAAGAGCATATGAGCACATAAGTCAACCCTGGAACCGGATTCTCGGATGTTAGGCCGTCCCATCCACTATCACTTTGATCCCAGGCCCACAAAAAAGAATGTAAGCTCGGGTGCACAAGTTCTCGAGCGATACTTGGTAAAGCTCTCCAGTTAGAGACCGATGCGTAACTTCCTTTTCATCTCCATCCCATTGTGTCATGATGCAGACTGGTCAAACCAAAAACCCTAGCTACCACTGATATACCTCATTACGGTATACCTTAGTACCCCCGATTCAGTGTGGCTCCACACTCCCCATATCGTAGACCGCATTATTGCTGTTACTGTTTAGCCTGATACAATCCATTTGAATTGCAGTAAGAAAAGTCAAGATATTCCTGGTGTTGATCATTTCTCTTTGGAATGAGCCATGCAATGCTCTTCTGCGCAAAATCGCAGAAGCATTTGAGTGCACACCACCCCAACAATGAATATTAGGGGCCAACTGACATGAAATGATGGGCATCGTTTTCATCCTCCCCGGAAAGGTCTGATCGGATCGCATTGATTTTGATTATGGAATCGATTTGCAAAGCAGGGTGGTAACGGCACCAATTCACGCTATACCACCTCTACTCACTTGAACGGCGGATTCCAAGAAATACGAGCAGCCAACTCCTTCTGTATGCAAGACGCAGGATCAAGTCATTGAACATAACCATACTTATTTTCGAGTTTCAATGAGTTTGGGACTCCCGAGCAATTAAAAGATTAGTTTCAGATGAAGAACTACGCGTTTCTCAAAAAAAAAACAACTTTGAAATTCAAGAGGTTACTTATTCCTTCGAGACTTCGGTTGAGCAACCTTTCTCGTTTCGAAGGTGAGATCCCTTCATCAGGCCATAACATTTTCACCTTTTTATTAAGTAACACTAAAGGGTGCCCGATTAACTACGTTTCATATAACATAGAAGAATTTGGAAGAGTAGAGGTGCGGTGTCTCTCCCTACTCTTCTTGGAGATCATATCGGCAGCTCTCCCAAGCTCTCACGTAACGAGGTTCTGAATAGCCTGAGAGTACGATTTTAATGACCTAACTTCACAGGCTAGACTACAGGTGACAGACACATTTTTATGGTCAACACCGTTGAGGAACAACCTTGTTGACAGGACAACATCTACATACTATTTATTTATGTTTGTAATGCAATCGAATGCCTTCTAGTCGGTTTTGTAAGCTTTTGGTACTAGCGCAAACTCAAAGGCACACTTCACGATAAAAATAGTTTCTGAGGTTTCCGTACAGTATGAATTCGAGGCTCCCCTAATACCTTACCTGTCGTTATAAGGGCGAAAAACGTCCTGAATAGGGCACAATAAGGAACCAGAGTTTGTATCGTGTGAATGCCACACCCCTAGCGGACGAGTTTCAACGGCTTTGTCGAGGCTGCACTATCTCAAGAGACTCTCATGTAGGGAGTTCGAAAAGCTTGCCATAATCCATGGCCACAGTGAAAGGCGGTTTCGGATGATTCCGCTTGATGTAGTCATCCCTTTGCGCAATGGGAGCCAGCTAAATCTCGTCTAAACATCTTTACATGCCATCCCCTCCCCCACCGCGGTAATCTCGCACAACCTCTACTTCCGCTACTTTACAAAAAACCTTGAAGTAGGCAGAATTTCTCACTTTTTTGCCACCGATGTACCCCTCTACATCAACACTTTCGTTTTTCAACCTAAAAGGGTACCTCAGTGAACTGTGCCTTCGAGTCTTAGTCACTTTGCTAAATAGAACATCGAAGCGAGAGTTTTATCAGCCCTAGCGAAAAACAATTCGATAGGCACATTCTCCTATGTCTCAGTCCTCAACAAGTTTTGTGCACTCCCTTGGCTCCCCCACCTATTTCATTCTTGGTTTCAACAAGCACTGCTGCACCTGCACTTTACATACATATATCACGTTGCCCAGCGAGTGCATAGATCTGGGACGTGATGGAGCAGGTTTCGGAATGAGGTCCCGTCTACGTTTTGTTTCACGAAAAAGCAATGCTTAGGTATCGCTCTTATCAGAATTCCATAACCATGTCCAATTCAAGACCCTCTTCACCTTACTGACTATACATGCTGAGCTTGTCAGAATTCAAGGTTCACTTCACCAGAAGGCGCTAAATTGAGATGCACGTCAAGTCAAAAATAAACGGGACGTTAGTGGCTGTTTTGAAATAGGTTTCATTTGGTAAAAGAAGAAAAACAGCATCGAATTCTTATAAAATACCTCGTGAGAGGCTCGTGGACGAAGCGTAGTTCTGCGGGTTTCAGGCACTGCATGCATCGGCGACTGAACTAGTGGTTGACGTACGGACGAACACGGACGGCTAAGCGGCTGTTCGGTATGCAAAATTTCGATCGTCGGTACCACGTGCACACTACACACTCGATACAGTCGAGCGGTAGTGCTCAGATCATTGATTGCTACTGAAAATCAATATCACTCACATTGAAGCCGATAAAAGAAGTGCTTGGATACGAGAAATTGAAGAGAAATCAGAGGTCTGTACATTTATCACATACGAAACGACACGGAAAGGATTCTTGGTAAATCCATAGAACCATTAATGAAAGGGGAAATTGGCCTATATTAAATGGAATCTCAAAGTTTAGAAAACGACAAACATGGGATCATGGGAACATTTTTTCTGGGAATAAACACGATTTATCAATGAATGTTGTTTTTTGTCATTGCAAAGAGATGTCCAATCCTTTCTTACATCTGAACTGATTGTGAGCAACTTCCCTCACATTAGAAGAAGCTGGTTCCAACATGAGATGGCCACACTACACGAATCATGGCAACCAGTGGGCGAGAACTGTGCAGGAACATTGTGTTCTGAAGTTTTTGCAAAATTTTTCCGTACAACTTCATTCCCGACAGCCCGTGAGAAGAAATTACAGGTCAATTAATCTGGCTTTCTAGGATTTCAGATTTCTCCCGGCTATGTACTTTCTTCCTAGAACAAGGTGTACATGACTCGACCGAGGGTTTGGCATGGGATAAGAGGGAAAATTCGAAGCGAAATTCAGAGTAGTAGAGTGGGTGGTTGCACTCGTCGTGCGAAGTCTCAACAGCAGATTTAATTAATGCATTTGCACAGTAATACAGTAAACCAACACAATTGCCTGATTGCTGTGGTGCACGATGAGTGCAGTCAATAAATAAATAAATAAGTAAATGATAGAGGCGTAATTTCTAAAGTAAAATGATTCCCAGTTATGTTCTTCCTTTTTTTCGTTTTTTTTAGCAAAACTGTAGAGAATTGGGTTTTTTTTGTGAATATTATGCTTTTCTTCCATCACTTCAAATAACCATTTTTATCATTCTGGATTCCATAAATACAAAAGACGAGAACCGAGGGGCATTGCCAACATGAACGAGAAATTTGTAGTAAAAATGACGGTAGGAGCGCATATGTACGCGGAAAGGGAGAAGGAAAGGTAGCAGCAGGACGAGGATGTAGAGAAACACTACAGCATAGAGGATCAAAGGACATAGTAAAACATTTCTGAAAAAAACGGAGCACAAGAAATCAATGAAATCATACGGAATAGCCGAAAACGTGAATAATTTCACTTTCTCTCTTGGTGTTGTACTTTACCCCATTTCTATTTAAACACTGATTAATACAATTATTCCTAACTCGGCCACCTCTATATCGATCTTGAATATTCAGAATCTTGGTAGGTTGATAAAGTTGAAGCCATGATCACTGATGTGCTCCGAGCAACTTTCTCGGGCGCGTTTTGATACCAGGAATTACAACTAGTAGCAAATAGAGTGGACAAAGAGTTGTAGGAGATAAGGAAAGCAATGTAGATTAGTTGAAATTATTCTGTCATCCGACTACATATACATTTCGCTGAATGTGTCTGTTGGTATGGTATGTTTGTTTGTTTGTGTGTGTGTCGGTGTGGGTCTAAGGATACCCGTAACTTCTGTTCCTGTGAATCTAGAGCTTCAACTTAAGATGGGGCGGGAAAAGTAGGACGGAAGTGTTTAATGTAGGTGACACGAAAAGAAGCAACCCATAGGGTTTGAAGGGGCTCTAGATAGCAGGGGCTACTTGATCCGTCCCACAATTCGTGAACTCATGTTAAAGGCGGAAGGTCAGCACTTTAGACAGTGGCGTGAAGTGAACGTGAAATGTGGATGGTTTGTAGCACGAAATGACAACAATTGATAAGGTGATAAAAGGGCATACAAGTTCAGAGCAATAGAGTTTAGATTACGTGGTTCATGTTAGCACCGGAGTCTTAACGCGCTGGTGGGTGGTGTGGGATAGGCCAGAATACCGGGTCTTAGATGATTGAAGGTAAGGCCTAATAATATTGAGTAAGTGCTAGCAATGATCATTTGAAGTGGGAGAAACCAGATTGCTCATAATGCTAACCACTTCCGTAATTGCAGTCTTGCCATTTCATTATAGTATGCAGCCTTGCCATTTTATTATGGTGTTAGGTCGCCCGGCTTACGCCAGGCCCCATTCCTTACCTTACAAAGTATTTAGAAAATGTATAATAGGAGGAGGGGGGATCACCTATATTCAACAATGAGGGCTTGAGGAAGGGGTAGGCGACCTTACCTTTGCTTCGAGTAGTTCTAGGCGGAAAGGTAAGCATTTTGTTACCCAAGTCTGAAGGGAAGGAGCGCCGGGATGGGGTTGATTACCTTATGTAGAAAGCTGGGATGGGATTCAAACTGATT